ATAATGCGTCTGTCCTCGTAGCCTGACCAAGGAACCACCAAAAACGAAATAAGAAACAATCGAAAAATCTAGGAAAAGAATTTGTTATCTGTGGAATTGTACCTTCTGTTGGAGGTTAAGTCACGTCGCCATGTTTAATTCAACATCCTCCAGCAGAATTATATATTCTATATATATACACACACAGTCGGTCACAAAATAATTCGGACACTATTTAAAACATTATAACTTTTTAAAAATTTGACCCAACGATTTGAAGCTTTTTGAGAAGTTAGAAGGATTAGTTTACTATATGACGTGTACAAAAAATTTGGGAAAAATTGGAGGTCGCTTTTTACAACTTTTTTATCTGAGCTCGTAATGAAAATCTAGAAAAATACGTTTTGTAGATCTATGCCAATTATACACATGCTGAAAATTTCATCGAAATCGTTGCTATGAGCTACAAACGGTTCAGAATTGTGAGAATCGCACTATTTCACGATTTTCGGCCTGTAACTGTAATAAATCTGAAGATTCTTACATCTCTCGATGCCTGCCGCTTGCTTCTCCATCAACCGATTTCGATGAAATTTTCAGCATGTGTATAATTAACGTAGATGTACAAAACGTACTTCATAAATTTTCATTACGAGCTCAGATAAAAAAGTTGTAAAAAGCGATCTCCCGCAAATTGCAAATTTTTTCTACACGTCATGTAGTAAACTAATCCTTCTAACTTCTCAAAAAAACTTCTAATCGTTAGGTCAAATTTTTAAGAAGTTATAATGTTCTAAATAGTGTCCGAATCATTTTGTGACCGACTGTATATCCATCGAATCAAACGTCGATTCGAATTTTCCCTCGAGTGTACAGTTTCGAGGATTCGAGGGTGAATTTTCTGTTTTTTGTTTTTTTTTTTTCCATGGAATAATCTGAAAAATCGTCAGGGGCAATTCGTTGGTCAGGCAACGCTGCACCTTTTGTACTCTCTACGATCGACATCAAGCACGTAATTTCGATCTAACGATTCCGCCACGTCTACTAATCCGTCCACGTGTACACGTGGATCCCCTCGACGAGAATGTTTCCCTTCTCATTGTTCTCCTCTGCGAATTCCGATCCCCTTTTCACTCCTCGTCGAGGCCCTTTTATAGCCACGCAGTCTGAGTCGCGGACGAACCACATCGATCACTCATCTAAGAAAACTCGTTTTAATTACATTAGTTAGGTAATAATCTTCGTCATCCTCTCCGTTTTTTTTTCTCTATTTATTATCGTTTGATTAGTTGCACTAGCCTTGATTGTCGGCATTTAAGGGCTGCACCGGGCAGGCAGCGTTTATGGCGACGTGCGACTCTCTTCGTTCGAGCGCGAATTTTCTTACTGTTTTTTTTTTCTTTTTTCTTCTTCTTTAATTTATCTATTCACTTAATCAACCGTGAAAGGTGGCTCGTTTCCATCGGACTCGCGAGGATATAACGACGGAACCTGTTGACCCTTCTATTACGTCCAGTCGAAGAGAAGATCTGTACACTTTTAGTTCTAGGAAGCCCAAGGAAAGGTGGAAAAGTGTTCGCAAAGTTTGAAACTTTGGTATTCTTCGTCAAAATAATTTCTGCAGGTCGTCGATAACCTGCTTACGCGAGAGAAAGTAATTGGATTTATATTTTCTCTTTTAAGAAATTCAATTAAATCTTTCAACATATTAGGCTTATTAAGATGTTTATTCTTTTTCTTTTCATATTCTAATCGTACTGTCAATTGTACTAATCAAGAAATTAAACGATCATCTTCAGAAAATGAGATATCTTTTTTTTTAAATTGAAATTAAATTAAATTTTCTAGCGACTTGGGCGTACCAGGGTTAAAGACCCCTGGCGTAATTATTTCTTTTCTTTTTTTTTAATACCGTAATGAAGAAATTCAGTTATCATTTTCGAACAACAAGACATGAAAGAACGAATCACCGAAGACAATTTTAATAAGGGTCAACAAGTTACAGTCTTCCAAGTAAAATTTCGCAAGCTCGATGGATCTCGAACGATTTCTTCCAACATCAACCGCGTCTGAACGAACATCGATCCTCAACAGCTCGACTGATGGAGTGCCTCGAAGATCCATAGATCGAATTCCTTCAAGGTACTCCGTACAGTCGATGTTGGTCGAGAGAAGGTATACGATAAAGGGTCCGTTGCCCACGACGAGGTCCGTTTACCTCTAAAGTATACGCTGAGAATCTGAACGTCTCTTTTGTTACCCTAAAGCCTCTTACATAAGTCGATAGTCGTTTATGTAATCTGGTAAACCGATGACTGTTTCTTTTCCTCTTTATAGTACAACTTAGCGAGTATAGTACAACAAACGATCAACGGCAAATGGGGACACGCTCGAACCTCGTCGAAGGGAACGCGTCCTACACCAAAGACAGGGTACACTCCTCGAGAGACATGTGTGTTTGTGTGTTTGTGTCATGGATATTCATATATACAAATATTCAAGGAAATCGAAAATCTGCGAGTGAGAGGTTTTTCTTCTGATCGAGGAATCATTCATTGTTTCTTCTTCTTCATTTTTTTTCTTCGCTAGACTAGGCGTGAAGCTGTACAACACAAAACTTAAGACTAGGCGTTCGTCTCTATTTAGTAAGTGGTGAAGTGTAGTGCCCCTAGACGAGCGTTATTCATCTCACAGGCGTGGCCAGGTTTCTGCCTCAAAAAAATTCGAGGAGGCACCGGGTGTGTATAGAGCTGATACAGGGGAGAACTGTCGTGAAACGCGGGCTTGTAAGCTCTGCACGACGACCTGGAGGTCTGACTGGAACTTTAATAGAGACTTATACCGTCCTTGTTAGCTACAATGTACCAATTTCAAAGTGTTCACGCGAACAAAAATTCATCTCAATTTAGTGTTCGTTATAGACATGACAATCGATAGATAAATAAATTCTTGAAAAAACTAATTCGGTCGTAAAAGAGTTAAACAAAGTCAAAACATTAAAAACACTCTCATTTATTAAAAATAAAAATTATAAATCTGATTTATCTTGGACCTTTAAAAATGTTAGGACAATTAAGCTAAGTAGGGCAGTACAGTCGTCGAGAAAGAAGAATCATTCTCGAGGTATAGTTTTGAGGAGAGCTTGCAAGCTTTTTTGGTAAGCTCGTAATAGATAGCGAAATTGTATGAACAACTTGAATGCATCAAGTCGTGGCGAGTGTACAGTGGGACGATATAAAAAACGTGAGAGGTGAGCTTGCAAGCTCGCGCTAAGCTCGTGTCCTTCCGGTGTCAGCGTCCGATTACCGAAGGGTTCGCTGTATAAAAAGTGGCGAGAGCTTGCAAGCTTGCGAGAAATACGACGACAGTCACCCTTCGAGAATTTCCTCGATTTCTCGATCGTGGGATGATAGTCTCGACAGAGGTTCGTGCAAGAAGCGTGTGTGATTTTTGAGCTTGTCGATTCGACACTGTCTAGAAACATGGGTTTACTGGTAAAACACATTCAGACAATACGCATGATTTGTCAGAAACTGAATTTGAAGTGTAATCCTTAAATGTATTATACATGACATTGATCTAGAATGAACGACTTAATTTAGTACAAAAATCCTGATTATTCTTATGTATCTTCGTTACAAAGTAAAGATCGACGTATTTATTTATATATCGTGTTTTATCAGTATATCCACGGGATATGGCTCTGAATGGCAAAGGGATAGATTCTATATAGATTAGAATAATTGTCCAGGGGTGGTTGTTCCGAGAGAGCAAAGTGAACGAGTTTCTTCGTAGCAAAGAGGAATCCGCAGGCTGATGCAGGCGGCTGATATACAACGTTACCTTTTTTGTTTTTTGTCTTTTTTTTCTTTCTTTCTTGTATCCTTTTAATAACGATATTGCTTATACAAACGCTAGGTTTTTTATTTTACCTCATCACCCTCTCATCGTTCACTTGTCATCTACGCGTATCTCTCTTCTATGTCACACGGGGACTAGCGTGTTAATTTATTATTTCTTTTTCCTTCTTTACTCGTTTCGTTTTAACGATTCGTGAGCTATCGTGAGGATCGAGGATATATTTTTGTTTTTTTAGTAGAAGTCTAGTCTAGTCCTGAACGACAAGCCTTCTTGACGAGCATCCGCGTCCATCCGGGATGTATCAGAAGTAGGCGAGCTAGAGACAACGAGGGAGTGTTCGGCTTGAGGCACTAGGACGCATCCAGGGCGAGGCACTCGGCGAGGAAGTCCTCCATGGAACGATAAGCGTGCTCCAACACGCCTGACAACGCGTGGTCTTCGTCCGCGTAACTCTGTCGAATCGTACGATGCTTATTTAGTCATAATTAGATAGATGCTTCAATGGTCAGGTGTTATTTCGTTTAAACCAGGGCCGCTTAGCAAGTTGCCCGTGGAGCAGCGCGGGCATATACGGGCAGTAAGCCACGCCTTCCAGGGCAACGATCCTATGGCGAGGCACTGTATGAATATATACATCGTTCAAAATAAGAGTAACCTCGTTTCGCGTATGGGACGTGCTTAAGGCAGGGCTAGAACCACTAGAACGTCCAAACACTCACTTAACCGCCTACGTTTTTCTTCGTCTTATCCTCTGCTACACTCTCTGTCCATGCGCAGAACGGACGAGAATCGGTCCGAGAGCGAGGTTACTCTTATTTTGAACGATGTATAGCAGTGATCGTTTGATCTAAGAATATGAACTGTGCGTCAAAGAGAGAGCCTATACTTCCACCGCAACCGTTGTTCCCGAAATTTGTTTTAACGACTGTTGACGTCACTTGCCTCTAGATTTGCCTACGGTACTGTCCAAGAGCAACGGCGGGTGCCCTGGTTCAAATTGTAGGCCACTATCGTCGCGAAGGTGTTAATCGTGATAAACAACAAGTCAGTGAGAATACGGTATACTACTTTTCTGCAGTGATGAATTCTACACATCTTCGAAAATCTGGGAAAACACATACCTGGTACCTGAAGATGATACCCGCTTCGGACAGAGCCTTAGCGAAGGCAACGCCGTGCGTGTATGGCGCTGTGAGGTCGGCCAGACCATGAAGAAGGTAGAGACTATGGCTGGGCACCAGCCTTGCACGCTGAGTCAAATCAGCCTCAACGTAACCCTTATAATTCTCCGCTGGAGCACCCAGAACTCGCTCCGTGAACGCGGAATCTGCAGGCAACACCGTACAAACACACCATTAGCCCAAAATAAGGCGATCTCCATCGTAGATCAATTTTATCGACTCACTGTAGTAAAGCCAATCCGCGATTGGATTCACAGCGACGCCACACTTGAACACGTTCTCCTGGCTACCCAGCACCATGGCTGTCACGTATCCGCCATATCCCCATCCCCATACACCAACTCTGGTGACGTCTAGGTACTTCAAAGTCTTCAACAGGTGCCTCAACACGGTTAATTGATCCTGAACCTCGACGCCACCGATTCGCCTGAACAAATCCCGCTTCCCTTGCCCCCTGGCACCGCGTACATCCAGCCTGACGTACACCACGTCGTTGTGACTGGACATGTAGGTACCCCAGTCGATCTTGAAGCGATCCGTCACTGCTTCGCTACCTGGACGACCGTTCACCTCGACTAGAACTGGAAACGCCGCGTCCCTGAGCTCTTCTCGCCAGGAAGGTGGTAGTAGCAACTGTACCTGTGCCTTCCAACCTTGTGGAAGGGGTACCTGAAGACGAATAAGGGTATTCAATTAGTGTTAAACAAGATAGCTTGAGGATGAAGACAAAAGTGGGGGTAGATACCTCGAAGCTTCTTCGTGTAGGCAATGCCAGCTGAGAGAGCTTGTCTCCACGTTGGATTCTCGTGTCGTACAGCATCCGGATCATCTTGTGGGATGTCATCAGGTGTATACCAGCGAGTGGGAGGCCTGGACCTTCGCAGTGGAGAACGTAGTAACTCATAGCCTCGTCATTGACTGCTGGACTGATGGAGGCGCTAAAGTGTGTGCAGTTGGTGTAATAGAACCTGTCAGAATGTTCACAGAAATTAATGGATCCTGGAGTGTCTTTTGTTGTAAAGGGCACATGTACTCACCTACTGCTCCAGAGGACTTCGCCAAGATCGCAGGTGACGCAGAGAGGCTCCAGACGTCGAGGATCGTCAGCAGTAGGATCGCGGACTACGTAGAGGTGTCTTTGACCTGGCCTCCTTTCCCTGGTGCCTAAATAGTACACCAAATGAGCTTTGGTGTCCCATGCTAGGATTTCACTCACCTGGAAGAACGAAGACATACATTTGCTGCAACGAAGATACTCGAGAGAATAGTTGATTGTTAATTTACGGAATTGGCTGTACCAGTTGCTCACCTCGTAACGACCATGAGAAAGGACTGCTATCCTCTGCTGTGTCAGGGTCACGTGTTTGATGTGGGTGAAGTGTTCTTTGTCGCCTTCCTGAACAGCAGCCAACAGCAAGAAGCTGTCACCATCAGGAGCGAATAAAGGATGGGGTTGAGCATCTAACCATTGTCCTTCTGGCGCTCTCTCAGAGTGGGTCTCCTCGCATTCCCACGTTGGAGCACGACAAGCGGATACTAGTGAGAGATTCTGCGCTCTGGTCATCCAGACAACGGCTACTTGGGTGATGTCATCGCCCACCCATCCCGCTGATATTAAGTAATACTCCCTACAGAAGAATAAAAAGCAGGCTCTGTTTCCTCGTCGTTCATCTCCTTTAGAAGTATCTTAGGATATCGCTTGGACGTTTCTCCACCGATCTACACTGCCGGCCAAAAGTTTGGCACCACAAAAATCACCGAGGGAACAATACAAACAAATTGTCCTCAAACATTATACACTCCTCTTAGTCCTTTTTCTTACGTCCCATAGCAGCGGAAATAATTCGGATGTTCGTTATAAGATAGGATAGCCTGTATATTAAAAAAAATATAGTTTCCCTCTACTCACTGTCCATCCAAAACAGGAGGTGGCTTCAGCTTCGTCCTCATCAGACTCGACGAGTTCGACGTCGCATTTCCACTCGTGGTCAGGTTACTCAATTCCAGGATCCACAGATCCACTTCGGGATTTGGCGATCCAGGAGTAGGATATCTAACTGATCTCGAGGGTGGGAAGGTTCCTCGTCTAGGCGTGCTCAAGGGACTGGCACTGGGTCCATCCTGACCTGTCTGGGTGCCGAACCAAGGGAATTCCAGGGCAGTGACCTTGGTGTCGTTGAACGTGGCGAAGAGAAGATGCGTGCCGTCAGGACTAGGCCAGGCTGCTTCTGGTCGTGGTAGAACTTCCTCCTGGTACAACCAGTCGGGCACGCCATTGTAGATCACGCCAGGAACGCCTGTGTCGGTGATTCGGGCGTCCTCCGCCGCTGACGGGGCAATTCTCACGTAGATGTCGTTTTCAGAGATCATCAGGAGACCGGAAGTGTTGCCCAGCCAAGCAGCGTGCTGCAACCGCGTTTGCTGCATCCTCCTCGACGCGTGCAGGCGAAGAGGCGTGTGATGGCTGAGAACGCAGAGGGGTAAGTGATGGAAAATTGTTTTTTCTTTATTTTTCGTAGATTTGTAATAGGTTTCTTGTATATTTACTCACTCGTTCGTGACGTCGTAGACTGTGTAATAAGCGGTGAAGGTATGCCTGAACACCTGTAACGAGGGAGAACTTCTCTAGAATTTATTTATAGAATTTTAAGATCAGCCAATTTTATCAAGGATTTTTTAGGTCAATTTACTCAATTTTCTTAGAGTATTAAAGACACGCTGTTTAATTATTTTATAATATTCAGATTACTGGGTTCCATTTTTAATGAAACTTCGTGGTTATGAATTCCAACATAATGCTATTCAATGTTAGCAATTTTCTTTGCGAAAATACGATATATTTTCGAAGTCACTAAGAACTCCTACGTATTCGTCACGAATATCCATGTTTAGGGTAATTTTTATCCAACCACGAAGTCCCAGAGGATTTTCTACTCAAGGCTGATTGCATAACCGAAACTGGACACGGCTCCAAAACAATTTTAACGACGTTATCGAAGTTACATAAGCGCGGAGACGCGTTAATGCAAATCAGCGGCTTTAACGAGGCGGCGAAGGCCGTTGAAATTGTTTCTCCGTTGCCCGCATTACTCACCGGCTTGACATTGTGCTTGAACAACACGTAACGCAGGTCTGCGCTGCACTGGTAGCCTTGGACGTTCAGCTGTCTCTGGAAATAAAGCCGGGAAGAGAAGATTTACGGTTTTATGTATTTTCCATTTTCCGTAGCTCAGGCTCGGCCGTGTGAACTTTACGACGGTTAACTGGCCTCGTAAATCCGGCAGATCCTCGAACTTTCCGAGAACCGGCCGTCTCCTCGCGATACGTTTCGTCCAACGTGCAACGGCCCCCTTAAATCAACGATGCGAACTATACCGTATTTTCGCGATGATTCGTGCAACGACTCCCTCAGCTAACATCGATCACGCCATTTAATTACGCCCTTGCGATTATGGCCGTTATGAATCGTGACGTTATGCTACGCTGCCTGATAGATAATGATCATCGGCGTACGCTTGCGGTTCATTACGTATTCATTATACAAACGCATTATGGATTTATGGATTCGGTTTGAAAATTTTCGCGTGAGCGGTACAATAGAATGAATTTACAATCGAATATTTTCTTTAATGACGTTCCAATCTGTCGAACATTAAGATATCGTTATCATAGTATCGATAAAACCTATTGCGCGCTAAGGCACGAAATTAGGACGCGATCGACGACTCTATTCGTTGATCCGCGTCGCCGGTTCATACTTGTTAATAGGCATCCCACAAAAGGTGACTTTTCTTTGTTAAACCAAATAACGAGCATTGATAGGCCATTTCTTCGACTGTCTAGCTTCGAGAAATTGTGTCGATACAGTCTATTGAGATTGAGTCACGAAGTCACTCTAAAGATGAACCCTGTAACGTCGAAAACAAGTTACTCATCGACTCGCTGACTGTCCCTTCGAAGTCCTGTCCAGCAATTCGTCACCAAGTTCACTTTCTCCCCCAAATCCCTTCCTTACGCTTCGAGAAATTGTGTCGATACAGTCTATTGAGATTGAGTCACGAAGTCACTCTAAAGATGAATCCTGTAACGTCGAAAACAAGTTACTCATCGACTCGCTGACTGTTCCTTCGAAGTCCTGTCCAGCAATTCGTCACCAAGTTCACCTTCTCCCCCAAATCCCTTCCTTATAAGTATACCCGAAAAATCCCTTAGAGCTTCATTATAGAAAGCAAGCGAGTGTAGTTAAGAGCTGTCGATCTAGTACACAGCAGAAAACTTCAACGTCTCTTCCCTTCGTGAAGTTCGCGCCTTGTAAATTCGGATTCCGCGAGTACAAGTATCATCGTTAAAATAAACGTTATATTGGTAAAATATAATCGGTGGCCACTTTCCTCCCTGGATTCCAACACAGCATTGTAAAGAAGACAGTCCAAAATTGTAACTCGAGTCGCGAAGCGCTGCAATAAAACGCAGCAACGTGGAACAAAAACTAGATTCTTAATCAAACATACACCGTACAACATTTTCATCCAATATCCACATTGGATGGAAAAAGAATCGTGACGCATTACACAAAGAAAAGAGCTCGATACACCTTCAATCTTTCCCACGAATCTTCAATTTTAATAGATCAATTCAAATCCCTGAAGCTTTCCATGAACGAAGTGAAACGAGGAACGTTAGCAATGCATAGAGCACTTGGAAACAATATATCCAGTTATCTACCTTCGAAGTCGACACTATCGCGGGTGCCGCGTGAAATACAAGGGTCCAGAAGTCGATATTCGTTTCTGAATGCTAGGTGAGATGTGGGCGCGGCGTGTTCCGCTTGCTTGCCAGATCAATGCGGCGTATTCGTCTATCCTCTTCTGCAAGATGAAGAAAGGTAGATTTTGGACCAGGTCCATCGACTACAATGCATTCCACGGTATTCCAAGAATTCTCGTCTTATCGTCTCGTTCAAGTTGCATCCATTAAGAGGCTGTTCGTCAAACACGAAGCACTTGACAAGTGTATAAAGCTCGTCATTGAAGGGAAACGATCGTACACGTTCCAAGTGACTGAAATCTCTCCGCTCCGAGTCTCACTCCTTCGACCCTATTAAACATTAAAAGGTAACACTTCTCCATCAACGAGAGTTAGAAGCCTGCTCGAATCTCGTCGACGAGCATTTAATCTTTCTCCGGAATCATCAAAAGCGTCCCGATCGTCACAGCTAGGAAAATTACCAGGCGCTCATTAACCACGACGCGACGATCCTCTGACCGAGACGCGGCGAGGTATTATTACCCTCAATCGTATTTCATATTCCTCATCGTTGGACGGACGAGAAGGATCCTTCGTTAACGACCGGTAAATTGACGCTCCAGCTCCTCAAAGCACCTCGTTCTCCCCTTACCCTTGTCCATTAGACTGTGCTCGTCTATCAGACAGTTATTCTCGATACGAATATTACGCAATTTCTTCATTTCTCCATTCTTCCTCGTTTTCCTCTTCTTCCACGAAATCATTCGAATCGTCAGATCTGCGAGGGACCTTTGCAATTTAACATATTATTATTAACGAGGATTTTGACATCTTAGATCTAGCGGATCAGGATCTCGGTTGTACATTCCTCTTTAGAATCTAACAATTCCTGCGTTTAAACCATGTTTCTAAACCTAATAGTTCCCGAGATATTTCACGAAATGTGTTCCTCACACTCCACTTTGAGGGTCCTTTTTCACCCCTTCAACATGGATTTCGGCAGGTAAGAAAAAATACGTGTCAAATAAGTTTTCAAGAACTACACCATACCTAAGTTTCATCGAAATCTGTGATGTACACTTGAGGACTCACCCTTACAAGATGCAGACACGGTGCGGCAAGAAAGTAACGAGACTGAATTTCTGCTGGCATACGGTGCGGCAACAATGTTATGCGAATGGTCGAAACAGACACGTCGCAATATGAATTAAAGCGTCCGCTAATAAACAATAGAAAATATTTCGATTTCGTAACGTACAAAACTGTTTTCCGCGTCTTGTTTTGTCGTGCAATGTTAATGCACCTGCACACACATATCAGTAACCGTAACAACGTTTTTAGCTAAAAAGGGAATTCCTGTGCTTAATATTGGATTATGGGAGTTATTGGTTGTTAAATAATTAATAATCCTTATTTTAAACTATAAACTTTTTATTTGACACAAGGAAGGTTCGCTTTTCTACTTGATGGCAAGAGCACTGTATACAATATTGCCTACGACCCCGCTTGGGACCGAAGGGCCTTTTGTCACGTATCAGAAACATTTAGATCTTTACTAAACAGAGGTGGTAAGGCTAAACGGATTTCTCCGAACGTATACAAAAGAAATATATACTTCCTAGTAAGGCTTTAGATTAATTTTTGTTATATCTAACTGACTGATAAATCTAACACTTAACCCCTTAACGTATGACAACGTGTCAGACTCGTGGCAGAGATTCCGGTGAAGATGTGAGAAAACTAGTTGTATTAGTAAAAAAAAATTCATTGCAATCCTAAATTTCGTTTGAATTTGTAAGACTAAGGATTGCTAAGTGTAATTAATCTGTGATAGATTAGTTATTGTTGCCTGATACAGTACTAAAACAGTAAATGGCTGACGCTTAGATGCATTGTCGGAAAAGAAATCATAGGTTAAGGGGTTAATCACCCTCCTTACTCTCCTGATTTGGCCCACGCAGACTCTTTTTTATTCCCACGATTAAAATTGAAATTGAAAGGTTAGGTTAAACGATTTTAATCCGTGCTCGATATTCAACAGACAATTAAACGAAATTAAAGCAGAACAATTTTCAAACTCCTTTCAACGATTATGTGACCGATGCAAACATTGTATCGAGTCCCTTGGAGGATTATTTTGAAGGAAATAAATAAAAAGTCTACAATGTTATGTATTAGTATCTTGCATTTTTTACTAGTCTCGTTACTTTCTTGCCGCACCGTGTATAGAGATACGTATGTATTTAAATCTCTACAGGCGCTACGTATCATAATTAAAGTGTGAATTTTAACATGTCATTTATGCAAGGATGGAGCGAAATTTCTTTTAACCCATCACCCAACTAACCCTCACATTGCTAACTTAACGTGAGGGCAGTGTCATTTAGTATTGACGAATCCACGTGGACGCTGTGACGCAACGTTCTCTTCCTTCGAGAGGTAGATTTTGGTTCGTGATCGTTTCTGGTCCCACGGGTGCTGAAGATCAGTCCACGAAGCGGAAAATGCAATAGCGAGAGGCTACTTTCGGGAAGCGACCCCCTTTTCTCTTGAATAAACCGGCGAATGCCACGAACTTTGCCTTATATACGGGCCACTCTCTTTGCTTTATGCCGTGCCGCCGGCTAACCTCATCTCACCGATAGATAAGGCCACGAACGATGGACGCTTGATATCCGACGTTAAGACTGTTTATTACCACCCCCTTTTCCGAATCCTTTTCAACGGCCAGGAATTTTCCAGGTACGGTTTTTCCGTGCATAATTTTAGATCAGAGAAGGTGTCGTTTCCGATGTTTTTGAGGGTTCGAAGGGATTCCTATGGTTTAATTGCAACGAATTTTAATCGGTGGATATTCTAAGCGGTGGTTTATCACTTTTAATTAATTTCGTTAATGAGTTGGAGCTAGGATCCTCTTTGAGGATGAATTATATTCCTCTGGAAGGGGAAAAATGAATTTTCTAAAGGTTTTCTCGGGAAATTTCCTTAAGACAAAGTATCTCTTGAAGCGTTTTTCGAAATTTAATACGTTACATGCTGAGGAATAATTAGACCCTTGCCAGAATACTTAATTACTGATAAATATCGGCAGAGTTTAATTCTGAACACTTTAACCCTTTATGCCCAGATTTTTCTTCGTTCATGAGGAGCAAGAATTAATGATTATTGTAAAGAAAATTGTGAAGAATTGGCAATAACAAATAAAATGGCATTTATGAAATACATATTGATGTAGATAACGTAATTCCAAGTCACGTGGCGTTATAAAGGGTTAATTTTTCTTCGCATTAATTTACACCAGCACTGAGTTGAGAAATATTGTTTTCCCATTAACGCAAGTTCCATTTCCGAAAACTCTTCTGTACCATTAGTGGTACACGCGTAAGTTCCAATTTTTCTACAATTAATTGAAAGTCGAGACAATGAATTTTAAT